ACCTCGTTGATGCGCTCGCTCAAATTGGGAAATCGAATCAAATCTTTTTTAATCTCTTTAAACTCACATTTATCCTTAGTTTTGCAGAGTTCTTCGTGCACCGCGTCCACGCAGTCCAAACTTGGTTGTAAGAAGCTGCGAATTTCCTTTTTAGCTAGGTTTTTAAAAACCTTGTCCGGTATGAAAATGCCGGGGCATGTTCCCTGTGAATTAAAACAAAAAAGATTACTAAAAGAAAAATTTAAAAAGAAAAGCATTACTTCAACATTTTTTATGTAAGTAAGAATATTCTTTTTAGAGTATTTAGCCTTCTTAAACATTGGAAGTGTGTCACAAAAATTTTCGTGAAGAGCTTTGCAAATCAGCGCGCCACAACCGAGCACTTCATCATCAACTTCCAGATCAGCGTCACTAGTCCCTTCAACAGTAGAGCAGTATTCAATAGAGTACTGCTGCAAAATACTGAAAATAAATAAGTCCTGAAGGATAAAATGCATTTGTGAAATAATGTTTTACAAAATACATCAACAGTACCTTCTTTTCAGAGATGTCCTCTCCGTATTTGTACAAGTTTTCTTCACACTCCGATGTAAGTGTGTTAATTCGCCTTTTCAAATCTGGCAGGCACTTGCTGATGTGGTTGTGAAGAATCTGCGTGACAAGTAAAGATAACTAAGACGGAGGTGTCAAAAGAATAAAATGCATACCCCGCTAAGCTTCTTTGCGAGGAAAGCTGTGCCGTGTCGGGCAGCCAGTGAAGGGTAGCGCTTCTGGAGAAACTTTTGCTCAGCTTCCAGAGCCTTGGCGATGCTCTTCCGCTCGTTAATGTCCTGCTGTGAGCGATTAACGCAGCCAATGATGCCCAGTTTTACTGGAATCACCTTGCCCATGAGGACGTTCTTTGCGTCCGTGCCTTTGTCCATTAGATCAAGTTTGGTCAGAACTGCCAGTGTTCGCTCGCCATTGGGGTCGACTGCACGAGCAAGCTTCAGCGATTCAGAGTTGGCGAAATCCGTGTTGGC